AAACCGTAAGCACGAAGCTTAGTGAGTTCCCCACCCTACCCCATACCATGCATAACCACATACTGCACATACTGGGCCACGCCCACTATCTTGGGCCTCGCCCCCTACCTCGGGCCTTGCCCGCTACAACGGCCCCGCCTGGCTTCGAGCCCCGCTCGGATACAGATCTGTTTTACTTAGGCCCCGCCTATCACAGGGCCTCGCCCGCCAACAAATAATAACACATAAACATTTCACAACACATAACTAACACATACAACTGGTTATGTCCTAAGGCCTCGCCTATCCTGGGCCTCGCCCATGTCCTGCTACTGATGAGCCATGGGACCCCGTCCACGCTCCTAATGGTAGTGACGTACGGGCCTAGCCCACTCTCACTCCTGTTCTAGTTCGGGCCTCGCCCCTATTCTGCTACTAATGAGATATGGAACCCCATCCACACTCTGCTACTGGTGAGATACGGGACCTCGCCCACACTCACCTCCCTACCAGGCACATACATGTATCACACAGACAACAAGTATAAACTATCATATAAACAATTCCTTGGGCACCCGCCCGCTATTACTGGACCTCATCCTGAAAATAATACTAGCATACTGTGCCTAAGGCTAACCCCCGGGTCTTCTACTCATAACTACATGGGTCGGTATTGTGGCCTTAGACCCATTCACACAAAGGGAAACTCACCTGTACTGGCTGAACTTGCTGATGATCTCACTAGTTGCTGCCCGACAACTCATGAAACTCCTGCTCCCCTTGCTCCCCAAACTACCAATTATCAATGCAACACTGAGTCTAACTGACCCCCGAAAGACAACCAAGTCCACCCTGGTCCAAGGTCAAGGTCCTGGTCAAAGTCAACCTTCCAGGTCAACCCTACTCGCCGAGTCACCCTACTGACTCGCCTAGTTCAAAATGATCAGATACCTTCCATTCGTGACTCGACTCGCCGAGTCAGTCCATGACTCGCCGAGTCTACCGATTTCTAAGTCCAGACCTGTCCAACTCACTAAGTCTCCACCCGACTCACTGATTCGAGTCACAACTCAAAGGGTTTGGGGTTTCGCGACCTGACTCGCCGAGTCCAAGAACAGACTCGCCGAGTACAAGGCAATCTTCATACGACTCGACGAGTTGTTCATCCCACTCGTCGAGTTTCTCCACAACTCCATGCTACTCGCTGAGTCCACTCAAAGGACTCGTCGAGTCCCTTCAGTTCTCCTTACATGCAGAGGACTTTTGAGTCATGCATGGACTCCAAACTGTAGATCTACCCTTCCCAAGCCTATTCCCTACATAAAGTTGCAATCTTTACGCGTAGAGAAGGAGATCTAGGCAAAACATGCCAAAAACTAGGGCTTAAGGCAAAAAGACTACATGATCCACTCAAGGGCTGATACTTTACGAAATTCTAGACCAAAACAAGCATGGATCTGAGGTAGCAACCTCAGATCTGGACCTCAAGCTTGAGATTGATTTCAAACATGGCTTAAAAGCCCCAAAACTCATAACCAAGGAAAATCTGGAGGAGAGAAACGACTTAATACCTTCAAATGCTCTGAAATGATCCCCAGACTTCGGATCCAATGCCACTCCTTGATGCTTCAAAGATTCCCACTTCTTCTTCTTCCTTTAAATCACTCAAAAATGGCCAAAAGCATGAATGAGCACAATGGGGGCTTAGGGCGCGGCGTTCTGGGTGTGAGAGACAGTAAAGGAACACTAGGAAGAAGAATGAGGCGATAAAATAGGCTCCAAGCCCCGGATTTAGGGTTTTCCTCGCACAGACCCTACTCGCCGAGTCGCCTTGGCCGACTCGCCGAGTTGGTCACTTATTCCTCGACTCGGATCCCGCTCGGACTCGTCGAGTCCTTCCTTGGACTCGCCGAGTCGACCCTTAAATTAGGGCTTTTCTTTCCTTTCTTGGCCTTTGAAACTTTGGGTGTTACATACATGGACTCCATTTAGCTAGGAATCTTACTTCCAATGTCAACTTAGGGATATGAGCGACAATAAATCATGACTCAGAGCAACACTCAAAAGTGGGGCATCAGTTATGGGTCAAACGATATTTGATAAACAATGAAAAACGGTAAAGTGATAAACCAAAAAAGGAAACGTGCCATCACCATTGGAAGTAGCAAGCTCGGTGCTAAATAGAATAGTAGGCTACATGGAGTAGGTACGATAAGTTCACCATACACTGTCCCCTCCCTTCAACATATTGAGCTCAAACTCAATTCTCCGCAAAAGATTGGAGAAGAGGGAGAAAGCTAAACTCAATTGTTTTTCCCACTTTTCAATCTTTTTTCTTGCAACTTAACCCATCCCTCATAACTAGCAAGTTCTACATGTCGTTTGGCAAAACCAATATGGCAAACAAAAGTTGAGGTGAAATAAATCATAGTGAATCACCGATTTCTGATTTGAGGACTCAAACTCTCAAAGAACAAGATTCAAAGACAAAGCCATATGCTCCCATGATTGCCTATTTGCATGAAGCTCTTTTGTGGTTAATAGTTATGCCTTTTAGGAGTTCAAACATCCAAAACAACAACATGCACGAGTCTAAGATGTGTATATGGTAACGTGAGTATAATGAGATTTTAAGGTAGTATTTGAGATTTATCTTTGTCGCTTTACTTCGCTTTTATTTTATTGGGGGTAATTTCATATGTTTTGATCCAATCTCATGTCTAGTTCTAGGGATTAATTGAAGCATTCTAGTTTGTGATTTGACAAAATTGCAAGAATGAGCCCTATGGTTTATCAAAACTAGCAAGTTTGGTCCAAAAAAGTTTGGACTCACAAGGGTGGTCCAATAGTTTGGTTTTGTTGCGAGTTTGGTCTAATTTGGTTTGAACTTTTTTTTATTGATGATTTTTCCCCTTATTATTTTATTTTTCATTTTTTTTATTACAACTATTAAAAATATAAAAAAAAATAGAATACATCTCTCTCTCTCTCTCTCTCTCTCTCTCTCTCTATATATATATATATATATATATATATATATATATATATATATATATATATATATATAGCTATATATCTATCTATCTATCTCATGCATAGAAAACCTACAACAACACCTAAACATGGTTTTCGAAGACCTGGAGCAGTGTGTCTTCTCGTTGGACCTCCCTTTCACAGATCGGAGGCATCAAACTCTCCACCGTCCGTCGTGGGAGGAGAAGATCTAGAACTCGATATATTGACAACGACTGAAAGGGGAGAAACCACCATTGCAAATCCAGCTCAATTAGGGTTCTTATATTTAGCCCCATCGTCTCCGCCATCACCAACCTCTGATCTCAAAGTCGTCGTTACCTAGAGAAACCCAAATTAATCTGAAGTCGTCGTCATCTAAATAGCTAGGATTTTGTTGTCAGCGGTAATCTGCAACCCAAGCACATCCTCCCACCTCTATGCTAGTAAGCTTGTTACAGTCACTACCTTAATTTTGTTCCGATTGATTTGCAAGTTTCAAAAGAAGAGGGAGAAGGGGAAACGGGGAGATCATTTTACATACTTACATCTCTTGGAATCGATTTGAGGCCATGAAATTGTTGTCTGAATTTGTATACAGGTGGGTCTCTTTTTACTCGATTTATTTGAAGACAGATTTGCAGGTGGGTCTCGATTTATCTTTATTCTTTGCTACCAGATTACCCAAACAAGGAGACCCCTAAAATTTCTGGTTCCATCATCTGATTTTGAATGTTTTATGTACTTATTAATTGGTGAATATTCATAGATAGATTGGTGCTTTTGAAATTTGAATCAGATTTTGGTTATGAATGCTAAATATTTGATGATTTAGATCGAATAACTTTTCTTTTGCAAGAATTTGAAACAAGAAACAAAAACATTTTTTTATTTCTGATTCTTTTATAGTGGTGGCATCCAGTGCTAGTAGTGGTGGCGAGAGGTGGTGATGATAGCTATAGATTGTGGTGGACGGTAGTGATTTAGATGGTCGAAGCAGAAGAAGTTAGGCACATCTGTCGGGTCCAATGGAGAGAGAGAGAGAGAGAGAGAGAGAGAGAGAGGTATTTTTTTAATAGTTTTTTTAATTGTTGTAATAAAAAAAATGAAAAAATAATAAAGGGCAAAATCATCAATAGGAAAAAGTTTAAATAAAATTGGACTCGCAACAAAACCAAATTATTAGGTCATCCTTGCAAACCTAAACTTTTTTTAGATCAGACTTGCTAGTTTTGACGTACCACATGAATCAATTTTGCAATTATATCTTGTGTTTACTTATATTATATAGGGTTTAGTTATTGGTTAAATAAGCTCCAGGATTAATAAATAAAAAAAAAATGATTTTGTGATATTTACATCAACCACGTTGTTTGGAATTTAGAAATTTGTGATATTTACCTTCACATCTTCACGTGTGTTCTGTAAGTCTATAGATTGTAATTTTATCTTGTCTTCGGTAGCTCATTCATCACTTATAAATGTGTTCTGACTTTTTACTTTTTACATTTAACTTCATACTTATTACTTCTGTGTCCAAATGTTTGTTGTTATTTTTGTAACTTATAATTTGTTTCTCAATGGCTCAAGCCAAATCAACTGGACAAACATGACCAGCTGACCAAATATTCAGAATTCAATGTGTTTTTTTTTTTCTTAATTTCATTGTTTATCATTTGTCAAATCACTCAAATTGGTTAAATAAATGTTTCAACAGTGTCAACACATCAAGTGCAACTCTGTATGCGTGCAATACCCATTTATTTGTTTGTATATTCTTGGTGTTTGTTATGAAGTAAGTGGCAAAATGAAAAAAATGATTTATCAATTGTTAAAGTTTTTCAATTTCTCGTTACATTTTCGTACACAACAGTTTTTATCCCTTTCACAACACCATTTTATGATTAACAAAGAGAGTACAATAATACAACAATTCCATTAAAATAAATAACCCCCCTTTGATTAATTTGCTCCATGCATTAGGTCTTTGGTATAAAAAGAACCTTTTGTTTCAGAAATATATAGAACACACATTTGTACATTTCAAGTTTCAACAACTCAAAAGAAAAATATCATGGTACACGAATCCACAATTAAAAAACTTAATGAATAATAGATAGAACACTTAAAAAAAACCTTCACAATCATTTCATCAATCACCCAAACAAACCAACAAAAGAATTGTTCTCTCCCATTCTCATAACCCACAAATCTAAGAAATTTCCTCTACAAAAAAGACTTTCCTTCTAAACCACAAAATCACTCTCAAAACCCTAGAATTAAACCACCATATAACATTTAACAAAAATCTAACTCATTTCTTTCCATATATAGCAAAACCCTCTATTTATACACCCCATACACTTAGAGCCACAGGATCTTGCCAAGATATCTTCCTCTTCACAGGCTTAACCCTCAAACCCGAACCCGACCCCAAACCCGTACCCGGACCCGGACCCAAATCCAAACCAGAACCACCCGGAACATTCCTAAAGATTGATAACCGCACATTTGTTCGATGATCAAACGGCTGACATTGATCTTGTAATTCCTCTTCTTCTCTCTACAATCAAGAAACATAAAATTAGAACAAGTGAAACAATTAATAAACAATAATAAAGTATGTAATAAAACATTGTATTAACTTACAGAAATCTGGTTCAAGTCGATTATGGGTTTTTTTTGACCCGTGGGTTCTGGGTATCCAAAAAGGTTGTTTTGCGGGTTTGAATCACGAAATGGGTTAATCTTTGGCCCGTTGATCCTGACCCGTTGGTTTGAAATTGCTCTTTGAACAGATTGTTCTTTCACATGTAAAGAATTTCCAAGATTCAAGTCGAATTCAGGAGCTTTTTTCTTGATGTTGTGTAAAGGTGATTGCTTTTCATGATTAACCTTCTCTTTTTTGCTTTTTTTGACTCGGGTTGGGTGCCATTTTGAAAATAATTGCTTTTTTGGAGTCGATGATGACTTGTTATTTGTTAGAAATTTGTATCTTTGCCTCAAGAACCTGTATTTGTAGACATAAACGAATGAGAAGAATAATCGAATAAGATGCTCTTTTTTTAATTAGTGCACTTAAAAAAAAAAAAAAAAAAAAAACAGGTTAATAGCACAAAATAAGTAAGTTTATACCTAACTTCGGCTTGTAAGGTTAGTTTCTTTTGTTTCAAAGCCATCAAATTGCTTCTTTGGGCTTCTGTTTCCTGTTAAATAACATAAAATATGTCAAAATTATAAAGAAAGAACAGCGAACACATATACTTGACTATAATCATCGAAAACAGACAGCTGAACACCAAATTAATGGTGAAATTTTCAAAAAGAAAAGATTTCGATTTATCGAAATTTGATGAACAGATAACTCCTCTCTTTCTTTCACAGAATCAATCAAGAACAAAAGCAAGAAAATAGATCATCGATCGAGCAAAACCCACAACATAAACGTTAAATTCATCAAGAAATCATTGGCACACAGATCAAACATATTATAGATCGTGGGAAAAAATAAGCACGAATCGATATTCCAAAAAAGATTAAAAAAAGATCGAAGGATATTAAAAACCCTAAACTATATCAACGCATAAGATCAAAATAACAAGAACCCTAAATAAGATCATCGACACAAATCCGACCCAGAACCCAAAAAAACAAGAGATCATTAGATCAAAAACAAAAGATAAATAAAGATCATCACCTGTTGTAACTCTATAAAATCTTGAAGAAGGGTTTGATGCTTAATTCTTGCCCTAGCATCCTCATACGACGCATGAGAAGACAAATCAAAAGTAACCCTTTTCATCTTCTTACTCATCAGATCTCAAGTTTCGTGAAGAAGAAATAAAAAGACAAGACTCTCGAGAGAGAGAAGGGTGTGGGGAAGATGAAGAAAGACTTAAATAAAGAAAGACGAAAGGGTGTGATGGGTGATGAGAAGTTTCTTGCTTTCCCTGTTTTCTCTGTTGTTGTTTGTGATGAATATGAATATGGATATCTGACCAAATAGAAAGCCCCAAAAAGACCACATTTTGGGGGTTGCAGAAGGGTATATCTGTCATAATCATAATTAAATCGGTGGGTTTGGTTGGAATTTGAAGACATCTCATCTATCTATCTCTCTTTTCTTCTTTTTCTCTGTATCTTTCAAGATTTTTGTTTTTTGTATTTCTTGTTCGACATAAATCTTGGTCCAAGTTGGGCCATTGATGAGGGGTGCGTGTTGACTCTTCGGCTCCATGTTTTGTTGATGATGGGTTCGTGGGTGGACAGCAAGATAAATAAAGGAAAAGATTTGTAGAGAGAGAAAGAGGATCAGGATGAAAGAGGTAGTGTGTAAGTGTGTGTTTTGCAGTTGGTGATCGTACCTTGTTTTTAGGCCTGAGAGTTTCCTTGCTGGCTGGTTTTAATTTAGATTGTAATCGTGATGGTGAATCGTGATCCAGTGTGTGAAATTACGTTTTTACCCTTCTGTTAGCTTTTTCTTGTTGAATGCCGGCTGTTTTCCCGGAACTCCGTATCTAAAGTTGAGGCTTGACATCATGAGAGAAGAGTTTCTTTTAACAAAATTACGAAATGTATCGGATTTTCTTTTTATAATTTTTTTTTATAAAGATGGTTTCTAAATTTGAAAAACCTTACAAGAAAAGTCATTATGGCTAACTAGTTTGTTAAGTTCGTTAAGTTCCGTTAAATGTAAACCCTTGCTATTGAAATGATAAATTTAACCATTAGACTCTCTTGTAACCAAACATTTCCGCTTCATCTCTGTGAAATCAGTAACACATCCTCGTTCGTCAATTCATTGCCTCCTCGTTCGAAATTTACTCACTCCGTTACGCATCGGAAAACCCTAACCCCTTTCATAAACCCCATTGTCGTCATCAAGGTCGGAAACCTTATCATAAATAACAATGAAGTTTGAAAGAGGTGATAGGGTTGAGATTCTAAGGAAAAATGTCGGTTTCAAAGAATCTTATCACGGACGATGGTTTTGTGTAACGACGTGAAATTTCAAAACAATTTTTTTCATTTTTAAAACATACTTTTAATCAATAAGTAATTCAAAACATGAGGTGTCCACTGTTATTACATCAAAACATTTCCCAAGATCTCATAACATAAACTTCATAAGTGTGTACGAATCATGTCGGTGCCTTCCCGCGATCATCACTGGTACCTGAAACACATACACAAACACTCTAAACATAAATGCTTAGTGAGTTCCTCAAAATACCACATACAGCACATACATCTTTCCAGGCCATAACTCTATAGGATCTTCCGATCCAAGTGTTTTAGGGGATTTCCATCATCCTAACATTCTGGTCCACATCATCATAATCATATCATAACATATCACATATACAACATGCATCACATATTCATCATACACATAAGACCTTCCGGTCACACATAATCACCCCATCGGGTAAGGCATAGTGAGAAGACTCACCTCGAAGATGTCGGATAAACACTCGTGCTCAATTTTCCGACCTAGCTTCCTCCTATAACATAAATACATCTCTAATTATTACTTCCTTGACTTAGTTTGACTAATACCCTTAAATCAACACATGTCAACTCTGGTCAACGCTGGTCAACGGTCAACTCTTGACCCAACTCGTCGAGTCATGCACCGACTCGGCGAGTTCAGACGTGAACTCCAATTCCTTAAATCCCATATGACTCACCGAGTCACTCACCCAACTCGGCTGGTCACCAACTGACATGAGTCACGGATCAACCCGGTCCGACTCGTCGAGTCTACTCATGGACTCGGCGAGTCCATTCCATACTCAAAGAAAAATAACCTTCTGAGGTCAGATCTATTCCTCTAATCCATAGATTTGTCCTTCCCAAGCTCAATAACCACGTAAAGTCTGAACCTTGACACTTGATATGAGCATATTTAGTTATAAACTTCATGCATTATCTTAATACTTTATGTTGTTTTTGTCTCATTTAATGAACAAAAGGTGCTTAATTAGTTTAGAATTTCATTTTTTAGCAATGATGACATGCTCAGATGGAAAAGGAAGCGGAACTAGCGATTGGAAGCTTGGATCTTGGATTTTGAAGAAAGAAGGACATTGCTAGACAGCTTGACCCCTCGTCAGTGTTTTGGCCATATCTCATGAACCGTAACTCCGATTGACGAGATTCAAAATGTTCTGAAAACTAGACACAATTTTGGACGACTTTCGTGTTTTGAGAAAATGTTGATTCCAAACGTACTCGGCGAGTAGGGTCGATTACTCGCCGAGTTGGTCAGAAGTTTCGCGATTCTGGACGTGCTGACTTGCCGTACACGGGTTTTAAGTGATGGACTCGCCGAGTAGGTCACTGGACTCGCCGAGTAGCCCCTGTTTTGTGAAAATCTATATAAAGGGACTTTCAGATCGATACCCTAGGATAGAGATGAACCCTTGGAGGCCAATTGTCGACTAAAGGTGCTATTGGAGCGTGGGAAGCAAGGGAATCAACCCTACATTCAATTTTAAGGAGAATCAAGTCAAAATCAAGTTTACTCTTACCTAATCTCTTGTTTGAACTATGTTTTTACCAATTGATTTCGTTTTTGTGCTTGTTTCTGCTGTAATCATGAGCTAAAAACTCATAACTTCTGTTTAGGTAGATGAATTTGTGAACATGGATTGATTATTTGATTAGGATTAATTTTAATTGGTGATTATGTTTTATTAAGCTTGTTAAAGAACCTTATGTGTTAACAATAACTATTCTTCTGTTAATAAATTAGTAATTAAGTTGTATGAACATCTCTTAGTTATTAATTTCATATGATTTATTGTGACCACATAGTTGTATGTCTAGGAATAACGAATGTGAAACTAGAATTAACTAGAAGATAGGTAAGTTAATGTGTGAGATTGTTTGATGAACATCAGCAATAGGTTAATTGAAGGGCCAATTTAATTAACCATTACAAGTCTTATTTAACCCGAATCAATAACTAGGAAATTCGTTAATTTAGATAACTGGCCACTGCTTGAGTTAATTTGTTTCCTAAGGATTAGTAATAGCAAACGTGAAACTAATCATCTTAGTCGGTAGCCAATGAAGAATTAATCCGATACATTGAAATCATCCATGGGAACAAATGAGTCGAACCTAAACAGAAGTCCTCTTTATTATTGAATTTAGTTGATTTTTATTTGCTTAGCTCTTAGTTTGTTAGTTTAAGTTTTAGTTAATTGTTTAAGTTTCTAGTCTTGCAAAACTAGAGAAAACCCCTTTTCTATTATTTGTTTTATTTAGATAATATTAGCATTTATTTTAATTGTTTACCGTTCCTTGTGTTCGATACCCTACTTGCTTGAACTATATTACTAATCGATAGGTACACTGCCTTTCGTGTGTTTATTTTGTGTCTAAGTTAGTAGGATTAAAACTAGTTGGTTTTACACACATCAACACTCATGCAACGTCCATATGACTCTATTTTATGAAATAGCTTATAAAATGGCATTCTAGGTTCATTTCCTCCATGGAATAACATAAAGCATGATAAATAATGCTCTCTGGACCTCTAAAGGTCCAGATCCAGAGTCTAACACCCAAAGGGACAACTTATATATCATTACAAGCAAATAAAGGGGGTTGGGAAAACCCTAGATTCAAGGTAATTAACAATTACACGAGATTAAGCACAGATTGATAGCTTTATCAGCTCCATCTGACCAAAATATAGAAGATCTAAGCTCCTCAATCCTCCTAGCATGCCCTCCTTCCTTCTCTATTTCTTAAACACTCAAGAATGATGAATTAGCCTTCCTCTTGCTCCACAAACGATTTCTCTGCCCTCTAGGGTTTCTCAGGGGTGAAGTGGCCGCAAATGATGGCCATAAGGGCCCTTAAATAGGCTCAGGCCCTGAGATTTAGGGTTTCACATAACAGCGCGGACTCGTCGAGTCCCTTCATTAATCCAGTCAACCAATCGCGATCCTACTCGACGAGTCTAGACATCGACTCGTCGAGTCCCTCCTCATGACTTTAAAAGAAATACTCAAATTAACATGCCTGGAAATCCGGATGTTACAATTCTCCCCCACTTGAAATAGATTTCGCCCTTGAAATCGTTCCTCAAGCACATAGATAGAAATCAAACACTCATAAAGCACCGCTGAGAGGCTCTCCCATCAAACGTTATCTTTCTCCCTGCATACCTGAATCCGCCCAGGTACTCCAAATTTGGAACAGAACCGGATCCTCTGCTGCTAAAATAACCCTTTCCAACCTTCCCGAACAAGAAATCCTTGTGGCCTGGCCCCCCGCCAAACCGCCCACTCACGCTATCACCATGATATTCTCCCTTTGAACATCAAATCCTGATAACTCACTGCTCCTATGATTACCTCAAGAAAAAATCTGGTAATCGGCTACCAATCACTCATACCAACGTACCAAAACAGTCCAAATCACGCCCCAAAGAACGAAAGGTTTTACATCGAACCAGGGCTTATCCACTGAACCACTATCATAATCCATCTGAATCAGTAACTTTCAACATCCTGTCCTCTGACACAAAAGGACCATACCTGCTTAGAAGTCCTCCATCTAAAATCATAAGCCTCGGTTGCAACCTTCATATCCCTATTTAACACTAAGCACCAGGTCTGATCTTGACCCGAAAGTTGACCTCCAGGGTCACCCATTGCATTATCCCAACCGTCTCCAGGTTACTATCACCATATCGGCCCAATGCGACACCCAAGTAATGAAGTTCGCTCAACCCTAAGCGAATGCTACCTTCCCCAACTGGAGATCGACTCGACCCCGACTTCTGCCTTCTGATACTCATCG